ATTTAATCATTATTTTCTGTATTCTTATAGGGTAGTTCCTTTGCTAGTAATTCATTATTACTTACTCCCTCCGATAGGAAATAACTGTCACGGTTTTGAACTAAGGTTGGAGGGAGTAGAAAACTTCATTATTACGATTTGAAAAAGTATAGACACCATGGATTAAATACCAATGCAACTATTCATTCTTTCTTTAGAAAACTTTGTTTTTTGCAAAAAAAACATTACTGTATCTTTATTCTTGCATATTTTAACAAAGCTCAATTCCTGTGTAAATTGTGTGCAAATTTTGTCGTAATTTTTAGTTTTTATTTTATATTCTTTCTTTTTGTGAGTAATACCAAATGCCACTAATTCATCGTTTGTTTAAAAACTTGACTATTTAACTTTGTTTTATAGTTTTTTTCATTTCGTTTCTTATGAATGGGTAGTACCAATGCCACTAATTTGGTCTTCCTTAGAAAACTTCATTATTACAATTTTGTTTTAGTTTTTATTTCACGTTAGTTTTTATTTTCTTTCTTTTGAAAGGTTAATACCAATGCAAGCAATTCATTCTTCTTTATAAACCTTCACTATTTTGATTTTTAAGTTATCATCTCATCTTCTTTCTTCTGAAAGGGTATGACACTAATTCATTCTTCCTTAGAAAACTTCATTATTTTGGTTTTGTTTCATTTTCTTTATCTTGAAAAGGTAATACCAATTCCACTAATTTATTCTTTCTTAAAAAAATCATATTTTGAATTTGTTTTATTTTTTTTATTTTTTTTCCTTTAAGATTAATATCAATGCCCCTAATTCATTCCTTCTTAGAAAATTTCTTTTTGCGACAATTTCACTATTATATGCTTATTCATGCATATTATAAAAATGCGCAAATTCTATTTAAATTATGTGCAGTTTTTCATTATTTGTTTTATTATTTTCTTTTTCCTTATTCTTAGAAAAGCTTGTTATGTTAATTTGGCTTTATTTAATTTTTTATTCTTTAATGATAATACCATTGCCACTAATTCATTCCTTCCTAGGAATTTTCCTTTTCTGTGAAAATACCACTATTATATGCTTATTTTTGGGTATTATAAAACATTTGTGTGTAATTCTGTATTTATTTTACTGGGTAATACCAATGACAATTTTTTTGTATTTGCCTCTTTTTGTTTACATACATATGCGTACATACATATATACGTCGATGGGAGTATTGTATTTATATGGAGCTGTTGTCCGTGTATGCATGCACCTGTAAACCACAATTAAGTTGATGTACGAGTTGCTTAGGCATTGACGCCGCAACATGTAGGAGAATCATCGTTGCATGCATCAGCTCTTACGGCTGTGGCGTTACGCGTTGCGAATGATCCCGACCCAAAGAATCGTAAAAATACAAAGCTTTTCTTCGATAAAGGGTTTTTCATTGAATTGAAATATCGAGTTGATACAATCTCATCATAAAACGCCCGGCCTCTGCATAACAAGATGCATACAGCCAACAAATCCAAAAAGTCAAAAAGGAAAAAGAGAAGGCTCAAATAGCTACTACGACAAACTCAAAATAAAGCCAGCCTATGATGTGGCCGATCCTATCCGAAGATCACACCGCCATCCATGGGGGTAGAAAACCTCCCTGGTTGAACGCTCCAGCCGAGTACACGCCATCATAAAAAGGTCTCTGTCTTTCGGCCTCTGCAGGATAGACCACATACGGAGCCATCGCGAATATATATGAATAACCTGCATAGGAGATGAAACACATTTATGGTTAAAAACAATGCCATTCCTGGTGAGCAACAAAGCCCAACATAAGGCGGCCGCCCACACAAGAATGTGTGCAGAAAATTGTTTATCTATTCCCCTCAACCAGTTGCCGAACATATTCCGTGCACTACATAGGGGATAAAGATTCGAAGCTATTTGGACAATGGCCCAGACAGACCGAGCAAACTTGCATTCACAAAAAATAAGTGTTTAATGGACTCATCATGATGGCAGAAAACACATTTTTTGCACCTTTGCCAGTTTCGTCGTGCCAAATTGTCCCTAGTTAAGATCACCCCTCTATTGAGAAACCATAGGGATATCTTCACTTTTAGAAGGATTTTTAGCTTCCACAATTTCCTGTTATCTATCGGAACCTCGTCATGGTCCATTGCATCATACATGGACTTGACCGAAAACTTGCTATTTTGATGCAATTTCCATCTAAAGATATTCAGTTCCTCCGACAACTGGATGGCCCCCAGACGGATGAGCAATTCATTCCATGCTGCCAAACGAGGTCCTATAAGGTCCCTACGAAAAGAAATATCCAGATTTTCCTGACCCAAAACTTGTTTGATCGTGACAAACTTATGTCTAGATATCCGGTACAAGCTTGGATATTGCACACTTAAGGGATTAGTCCCCAACCAGGTATCTTCCCAGAAACGGATTTGGGAGCCGTCCCTAACCGAGAATGTTCCAAATTGGAAAAAGAATTCTTTAGCTTTCATCAACCCACTCCAGAAATGAGAATCGCCAGCTTTCCAATACACTTGGGATATTGCTTTGGAACCCACATATTTATTAAGAATTATTTCCTGCCAAACACCATCCTTAGTGAGTAGTTTATACACCCATTTGCTGAGAAGTGCAATGTTTTTGATCTCAAGGTCCTGGATTCCAAGTCTCCCTTGGCTTTTAGGACGACATAATATGTTCCACCTAGCCAGACGATATTTCTTGGTTTCATTACCACTCTACAAAAAAATCTTGATCTAAAGTAATCTAGACGCTAAAGCACTCCTTTTGGTAGATGGAAGAATGATAGCATGTAAAGAACCATATTGGCGAGGACTGAGTTGATCAAAATTAATCGACCCCCATAGGACAAGAGTTTGGCCTCCCAACTGGTCAAGCGTTTCTCCAGTCTCTCTTCTACATGCTTCCATTCAGCTATAGTCAAGCGCCGATAATGGATGGGGATACCCAGGTAACGAATCAGAAATTTTCTGAGATGACAGCCAAAGATTTCAGCATAATCTTGTGCTATTTCTGCGGCCTTGCCGAAGCAGAAGAGTTCACTCTTATGAAAATTGATTTTGAGTCCAGAGAGTTCCTCAAAAGCACATAACAACAATTTAAGGTTTCTGGCTTTTTCTAAATCATGATCCAAGAACAGAATGGTATCATCTGCATATGGTAAAATAGATAGGCCTCCTTCTACCGAATGAGGATTGACACCGGTGACTTGACCAGCTATCTTGGCCCTCTCAACAAGAGTAGCTAGCATATCAGCCACAATGTTGAACACAATCGGGGATGCAGGGTTCCCTTAACGAAGCCCCTTCTTAGTCTGAAAGTAGTTGCCCACATCACCATTTACCTTGATGGCCACACTACCTCCAGATACGAAACTCTCTACCCATCGACACCATGTCTCAGAAAACCCCTTCATGCATAAAGTTTGCAACAGAAATGGCCATTTCACTTTATCATAAGATTTTTCAGAGTCAATTTAAATATAACCCCATTCAACTTTTTATGATGAAGCTCATGGACTGTTTCATGTAGAACAGCAACACTATCCAATATGTTCCGTCCTTGCATGAAAGTTGTTTGGGTTTGACGACATGGTCTGCCACCCCGTTCAGCCGGTTAGTCGCAACCTTGGTGAAGATTTTAAAACTTACTTTTAGTAAGCAAATCGGTCTATATTGTTGAATCCGACTAGCATCTTTCGTCTTAGGTAGAGGAATAATTTCCCAAAATTTAAACGGGAGATGTCAAGTTTGTGAGCATGCAGTTCATTAAATAGCTGAACCAAAACTGATTTTATCATTTCCCAAAAACTTTGATAAAACTCCGCCGGAAAACCATCCGTACCCGGAGACTTGCTATGTTCCAGCCGAAACACTACAGTCTGAATTTCCCCCTCGGAGAATGGAGAGGTTAGGAAATCATTTTCCGCAGCTGAAACTTGATGAATGTCATGACAAATAGACTCATCCATCTCGAGCGTTGTATCCGCCGATGGACCAAAAAGTTCTTTGTAATACTTAGTAATGAAGTTCTTTAGTGAGGCATCCCACTCAATCCGACCATCCTCCTGATCTAGAGCGAAGATACGTTCCTTTCTATGTCTGCCGTTGGCCAATATTTGAAAGTATTTCGTATTATCATCACCTAGGACAAGCGAGTCCGTCTTACACCTTTGGTACCATTTAATTTCCTCCTCGCGTAAGAGACGGGCTAACTGCTCATTGAGATGACTTTTTTGCTCAATCTCCATGGCAGAGAGGGGCCTCGCCTCTGCGAATTTATTGAGAGTATCAGTTAAGGAAGAAAGTCACAACTTCTCTTTCTTATAGATGCCAGCGGTGTGTTTGGCCCAACCACGAAGGAATCGGCGCAGTGCACGGATACGATTATTCCATTATTGAATTGGCGTGTCACCATGAGGTTGGCGCTGCCACACTTTTTTAACCAACTCATGAAAACCCTCCCTAGTGAGCCAACCCAGTTCAAATTTGAACTGATGACGGTTCGCACCTGAAGCCGCCTGACCAAAATCGGTAAGCAATGGAGTGTGATCCGATAAGGCTTCGATTCTCTCTAGTGCCCGTACCGAAGCTAGGGGGTACTTAAATTCCTAGTCGGTGATAATTAGTACCCGGTCAAGTTTCTCAAAGGTTGCGATTGCTCTGTTATTGGCCCAAGTGTATTGGCGACAAGATATACTGAGTTCCCGTAAATCGAGACTATCAATAACAAAAAGAAACGGCCATCTAGTGTCAAACCTCTCATTGTTTTTTTTCTGCTCATATCGAAGAATATTGAAATCCCCGATTAACACAGGGTGGGGATTCTCTAGGCAGGTATTGACGAGTTCTTTGAGCGGCGTCATAAACAGCGACCATACTCCTCTTGAGCGGCGCCATAAAAATACCAAGCTGACTGATCAAAATATTATATCCAGTCAATTGACATCTAGTCGCTCCCTTATCTTGTGTTTATTACTACCTCGCTGCAGGAATATCAGAAATATTACCGGCTTCCGTGGACGGCAAAGAAGAGTGCGAGGGAACCACCTGGTTTTGCCTGAGCGCTAGCACGTCGACACTTACGTGCTCTACCGACACCTCCGGGAGCCGCGTGTCACCGCTCAGGAACTGCATGATCTGCCGAATGCCCGGGCGTGCGCTGGGCAGAGGGTGTGAGCACAGCAAGCACAGCTTCAGAACGAAGCTCGCTTCTTCGGCAGGGAAGTCGCCTCGGAGTCGCGGGTCCACGGCGTCGGTGATCGCTCCTTCGCGCCAGTGCTCGATCACCCTGTCCGCCAGCAGGAGGTGGCCGTCGTGCTCGTCCTGGGAGACGGGCCGCCGCCCGCACGCGACCTCCAGCATGAACACGCCGAAGGCGAAGATGTCGGACGCCTTGGAGGCCCTGCCGGTGTGCCCGAGTTCCGGGGCCAGGTAGCCCATGGTGCCGACCACGTGCGTGGTGTGCGGGTCGGTGCCGTGATCGTACAGCCTCGCGAGGCCGAAGTCGCCTAGCCGCCCGTTCATGTCGGCGTCCAGAAGCACGTTGCTCGCCTTGACGTCGCGATGCAGAACCACCTTCTCCCAGTCCAAGTGGAGGTACAGTATGCTGGAAGCAACGTCGTTGATGATCCCCAACCTCTGGCTCCAGCTCAAGACCATCGTGTTGTGGTCGTGCAGAAGCTTGTCGAGACTGCCATTTGGCATGTAGTCGTAGACTAGCAGGAGCTCGCGCTTCCGCCGGCAGTATCCGAGCAACCGGACGAGGTTCCGGTGCCTGATCTGGCCGATGCTCACCACCTCAGAGATGAACTCCTTCATTCCTTGCCTCGATTCATGCGACACCTTGTTCACTGCAATCTCCGCCCCGGACGTCGGAAGCACGCCTTTGTACACCCTCCCGAATCCGCCGATGCCAAGCAGCCGCTCGTCGGAGAACCCCTTGGTGGCGTGGAACAAATCCTTGTATGAGAAACGGTGCGGACCGAACTCCGTCTCCCACTCCTCTTTTACTTCCGCATACCTGCGCCGCCTCCGCTCAATCAGGACGACAGCGATGGCCAGTGCTAACACCAACGCTGCCGATGCTATCGGCAACACGATATACAGCGTCTTCGACTGGCGCTTGGGGGTCGTGAACGGCAGGGCCGGCAGCTTCTATATGTTTAGCGGCGGGGCTTGTCCACCGTCCATCTTGAAGCTCCAGGCAAGCACGTAGTGGCGGCTCGACACGACGCCGGTGGATGACGAGAAGCCAACGTAGGCTTTGTCCTGGATCACCGACGAGAGGTTCACGGTGGCGGAGAGCAGAGGCTTCTTGGGCTTGGGCAGCTCAAGGGGTGCCATGGTGACGCTGACGAGAGAGGTGCGCGCGTCGAAGTCCACCCACACCTGCGTAGCCGTGCGGTTCAACAGGCTCATGTTCATGAACGCGCCTGTGCCGTCCTCGTAGTACCCCGCGTTGTCGGCGACGATGGATGAGAGGCCGTCGACGTCGACCCCGACGTGGTTGTTGCTCATGTCCCCGAACTCGGCGTTGACGATGGTGTCGAGCTCGACGGCCAGGAAGTGGTTGCTGGAGTTGCCGTTGTTGGCCGCGTTGGCCAGGCCCATGTACTGGCTCTGGAGCGCCGTGGAGAAGTTTTTGCTCTTGGAGACGACGAAGGCCAGGCCGGGGCTGCTGAAGTCGTCGTACTCGCTGACGATGCCGAACACGAAGGCTGTCGAGAAGGAGCGCGAGGAGGCGTTGCCGTTGGCGGCCTTGTGGAACCGCACGGGGAGAGGGTAGAAGGCGTGTCCTTTTAGCTGAGTCGTGCCGTTGGTGAGCATGAGGAGGCCGTCCGGGGTGACCGTGGCCGTGCCGTCGAGCGAGAAGTTCGCGCCGGCAAAGCCATCGAACGTGAACTGGTCGACGTCGACGGCCGGAGATGCGAGGGGAAGGACATGAAGAAGCAAGAAAAGGAGCAGATGAAGGACGCTCATGGTTGGTTAGCTTCCGCACCTAATGTGCCGGGAGTGTACTGATTTTGACCCTGAGGCTGAGGCTGTATTTCCACGAAGAATGGAACCATCAGTCCATGTGACTATAGAAGTATAGAACCTTGCTGGCATATGATGTGGTTATCGCTGTACGAGTACGACTGGCTAATCCCAAGAGATGTTTTTATATGTTAGTTCAACTTGTCGACTTGAAAATTTTGTACTCCCTCCTTTCATCTATATAGGGCCTAATGCGTTTTTTAAGACCGCCTTTGACTATTGACAAGATTAATAATACATGACATGCACAATGTGGAAATTATATCATTGAAATCTTCTTTTACACACGAATTTAACGATGTGCTTTGTGTAAGTTGCATATCATATATTATTGTTTTAATATTTGGTCAAAGTATTACGCTAATATAGCCTCTTTCTAGCCGCCGCCTCCTCCTCCAAGAAAAGCTAGGGTTCGTGCCTCTCGCCGGCTCCGCCACAGGTCCGCCTCGTCTCCGGTGGCCCTAGGGCCATGGGGGCGTGGTGGATCCTGGCAAGGGCCGGCGGGAGGGCTCCGTTGTTAGTCGTTCCTTCAAAATTTGTTAGGGTTTGTGTCCTACTCATGAAGACGAGACGGTGGCGGCTCCCTGAAGATGGAATAAAGGTCTCCCCGCCTAGTCCCCGTTCCGGTGGTGCGTCTAGCATCGTTGGTGGGCGTGTGGAGGTGTGTCTCCGGCGGATCTATCCTCGGTGGATTTGCTCGGATCTGGTTGTGGTTCGTCTATGTTCGTGTGTCTTCAGGTTGGATCCTTTCGATCTACGTTATTCTTCATCAGCGGCGGTTGCTGTTCTGGTGCGCTGGTCCTACGGGGCCTTAGCACGACGACTTCTCGACTGTTTACTACAGCAAGTTGTGCCCGACTCCGGCGAGGGAGGGGTGATGACGGCGGCGCGCCTTCGGCTCGTTTCAGTGATTGTAGTCGTCGCTAGGTGGTCTACGGATCTGGATGTAATTTTTATTATTTCTAGTGTTCGTTGTACTGCCGTGATGAAAGATGAATATATTGAAAGTTTTCTCAAAAAAAAATATTTGATCAAAGTTAACCTTAAAAAACACTTTAGGCCTTATATAAATGGAAGGAGGGAGTATCTAAAACGCGTCACCTTAAATTTCACTTACTGCCTGCAATCATTGACTCGACCTACAGTTTCTTTGTCAGCTTACGTGCCTAATTTTCAGAGGAGCACGGAATGCATGCACAATAATTTAATGTAGACCCAACTAGCTGGGGTAAGTCAGCTAGGGGTTGCCTCCAGCGAACGATTCTTTCCTGCGAAACTGTCCATCGAACATTTCCATTTCCCTCGATCGTTCGCTGTAGCGGGTCCAGTTTTTTTCTTCCAAAAAGAGGTTAAAACTTTCCGGCCTCTGCATCAATCAATGTATATAACCATCTTTATTAATTGTTCAACAAATATTACAAAAATATACATTAATTGAAGCCATCATTCACACCTACAAACTTAATAATGTGGAGTGCTCTCATTTCCAATATCTAAAACCGGTGTCGCGCTCAATTCATCCACATAACGTATCGGAACATACAGCCGGTACAGCAATCCTAAAACATACACCACACATGTTTTAGAAGCCGTCATTATCATCGGACCGCAGATCCATCTTCAGGAAAAAGATCCGCATCATCCTTGTTACTCCAGTCATCCGTCAACGATGGTGCCCAATGGCACCATCTCCCTGCGCGCAAACTAATGAGCACGTCACGGTCGCCGCCGGTACACCGCAGCACCATGCCGCCAAGTACCAGCAGGCACCAGCCGACATAGCTTGAAGTCTCTGGAGGATCTGTCATGCATAACACTTGTCGGCCAGACATAACTTGACATCTTCATCGAAGCTCCTTGCAGGATGAAGCCGCTCCACCTCCCGCCTCTGTCTTTCAGCGCTGCTCCATAAATGATGCTCCTAAGAGAGAAACGACACCGCATTGTCGTCATCATCCGATCTGGAAGACCAGATCCTAGGGTTTTCCTCGGAGCAGCACGAGTGGGTCGACAGTAGTTACACAATGATGCCTTCATCAAGGCAACGACGTAGAACACCGTCGGCTCGGTTTTCACCAGCAACTATGTCTCCCCGCCACTCGCGGCCGGGACTAGATGACGGGTCTCAAGAACCGACCATCCAACCTCAGGACGATGATGTAACGCTCGGATAATTAAGCTACAGTAATCCCCAAGTTAGTGGTGCCATGTCATCACATTACTGTTGCTAATCCTCATTTGATCAAAGACATAATTCAAATTAAAGGCAAAAACTCAAATTTCTCAAACATGCAAACAAAAATGTTCAAAGTGGTAAATATTCCATAACTAATTATGGTGGTGAACCAAATTTTTTATAAAGTGGTTTAACGCCCTAAACTAATTAAAATAGGGGCTAAAAAGAATTATTAATGCTTTTAAATAATTAAAAAAAAATTCTAAACCTATTTTGTTAAAGTGCCAAATTGTTTGTGGCAGTGGCATAATTAATAATACTAATTTAGGGACTAGGTTTATATTTTACAAAACAAAAAAATAAATTTAAACTAAAAAGAAAACATAAAAGATTAAAAGGAAAAGGCAATGCAATAGAAAAGAAAGAGAAAGGCCCCCGCCTCCCCCCAGGCCCAGCCCACCACCACACGGTCGCCTTCCCCCTGTTCCCTCGACTGGGGCCGCAACAGGGGCGATGCCCCGCCAGACCACCTCGCCGTCCCCGCCGGCGAGAGGATAAGGGCGTCGTCTCGGGCCCCTCTCCCACTCCCCCGCCTCTGCCCACTTCCCCATGCTCCTCCCCCTCTCCCAGGCGCTCCCCTCGCTAGAGCCGCCCCGCACCAGACCGCTGCTTTCGCCGCCCGTCTACGACCACCGCGGCGACCGACGTTCTTGTGTGATCTCGCCTTGTCCGGAAGGAGCTACATCCTCGTCTTCATCCATTGCGGGCCGTGGTTCGAGCAAAGCCGCGCTGATACGTCGGCATCGAGCCATTCCTTGCCGTCCCAGTCGCCGTCGATCCTTTCCGAATGCCGCCGCCCCGCCGTCTCTCCGGCCTTCTCAAGTTCTCCTCTGCATTCACTGTGAGCACCCGACCCTTCTCTCCCATTTCCCCTCTCGTTTCCTTTGACATTCTCCCGTGCTCGCACGCAACCGGGCTTTGGCCGCCGCGCACGAAGCTGAGCTCACCACACCCCAAGTCGCGCACTTACTCGCCCTGGACTGCATCCCGTGCGCGCCCGTTGCCCCTTCGTCCCGCACTCCACCCCTGTCTGCCACAACCACGCACTGCTGCTGCCCCGTTGCCCCACTGCCGCTGCATCTGTGGGCGCCGCTAGCTGCTCCCGCTGCTGATGACCGCTGCAACCCCCCACTCGCGTCACTATGCCACTGCCACTGTGCCTGCTACCTTGGTCGTCGGTGCCCCGCGCGCGTGACCACCCGCTGTGGTCTCGCCGCCAACTGCCGCCCTCACTTGCGCCCACTGATAACCCGCAAGTATACGGGATCAATGTAGCCTCTTTCGATAAGTAAGAGTGTTGAACCAAACGAGGAGCTAAAGGTAGAATAAATATTCTCTCAAGCCCTATCTGCCACTGATACGACTCTACGCACGCTTAGTGTTCGCTTTATCTAGAACAAGTATGAAACTAGAAGTACTTTGTAGGTGTGATAGGATAAGTTTGCAAGTTAATAAAGAACACGTAAACAAAAAGTAGGGGCTGTTTAGATGAAGAAGCAATAAAGCAAATATAGCGAGTGTGGAAAAGTGGTGGTAGGAGTTGTAAAATTGTCCCTAAGCAACTGACTACTTTACTAGACTGGTAATCACTATCGCAATTCTTTTTGAGGGAGAGACATAAGCTAACATACTTTCTCTTCTTGGATCATATGCACTTATGATTGGAACTCTAGCAAGCATCCGCAACTACTAAATATCATTAAGGTAAAACCCAACCATAGCATTAGAGTATCAAGTCCCCTTTATCCCATACGCAAACAACCTACTTACTCGGGTCTGTGCTTCTGTCACTCACGCCACCCACCATAAGCAAATCATGAACATATTGCAAACCCTACAACGGGAATCCCTCACGCTTGCGCGACACGCAGGGCACAATAGGACAACACCAATAATAAAACACGCAATTCAAACCAATCATAGCAATTCATCAATCATCGATAGGACAACGAAAATCTACTCAGACATCATAGGATGGCAACACATCATTGGATAATAATATGAAGCATAAAGCACCATGTTCAAGTAGAGGGTACAATGGGTTGCGGGAGAGTAGACTGCTGTAGATAAAAGGGGGAAGGTGATGGAGATGTTGGTGAAGATGGCGGAGGTGTTGGTGAAGATCGCGGTGATGATGATGGCCCCCAGCAGCGCTCTAGCGCCACCGGAAGCAAGGGGGAGAGAGCCCCCTTCTTCTTCTTCTTCTTCCTTGACCTTCTCCCTAGATGGGAGAAGGGTTTCCCCTCCGAGATTGGATCTATCTCTCTGTCTCTCTCTGTTTTTGCATTCTGGGATTCTGCTCTGGCACCTTTTATATCCGGAGATCCGTAACTCTGACTGGATTGAAACCTTTGCCCAGACATTTTTCCAAAAATTAGCTTCTTGCGGCCAAAGAAGGGCATCAACCACCTTACGAGGGGCCCAGGAGGGTGGGAGCGCGCCCACCTGGAGTGGGCGTGGGCCCCTGTCTCATGGACACCTCGGGCACCGTCTCGCATTGATTTTACTTCCCAAAAATCACAAATATTCCAAAATAAGTTTCCGTCCGTTTTTATCCCATTTGGACTCCGTTTGATATGGGGTTTCTGCCAAACATAAAACATGCAACAGACAGGAACTGGCACTGGGCACTGGATCAATAGGTTAGTCCCAAAAAATAGTATAAAAAGTTGCCAAAAGTATATGAAACTTGTAGAATATTGGCATG